ATATTTCTCTACTCTTTCAAAAAATTCTGCTAGTAACAGAAACAGACATTATAATTTACTTTCTCAATATCACTTAAAATTTTATATCTTAATAAAATTAATGAAAATATATGAAAATACTGTCCACGTGTATTTTCATTAATTGCATTTCATGTATTACATCTAATACACACAGCAAAATAATCATAGATTTAGGTAAGCATGCTTACCTAAGTAAAGACCTTTCATCTGCTATACCTTTAATTGATGATTTACAATCAAAGAGCTGACAAAGCAGACAAAATACAGTACAAAGTCCGTAACCTGGACTCGTCGGGACTACGGTGTATCTGGATTAAGGGTTTTTCCGGATTATAGATCATCAATTTAAATCTGGTTAGATGGCATTCAGAAAATATACAATCAAAATTATTAAACCGTAATTTATGAAATAAAGAGCAATTATGATCTAAAGGGTATCAAATTAAAAAAAAAAAAAAAGTATCACCAACAAAATCTATTTTTAGCATATGGAAAGAAAGTTTTGGTAAATTTTTCCTCGTCAACATTTTTCAGCGCATTTAACTTAAATTTGTAATCATCGCCAGGCATAATGTCAACATGAAAGGTTACCATACTCCTTTATTATTCAATTACTAACATAAAAAAAAAAATGTTTCAGCATCGCTACATGAGTCATTACTCAATTTGTCATGTTTTGATAAACATGCGGTGATGAAAGGAAAGTATAATAAATAATGATTCCCCGGGTTGGCATCAGATCAACGATGTAGCTATGTGGAATGTTTGGATTTGAGATATATGCCAAGCACATACGCAGCAAAGGAGCGAAATTACTGAACGTACAAATTTATGCTAAAATAACTGTTCTTTAATAACAAGGTATTTTATTTAATGTCGAAGTGAAATTAAGAATCGGGACTCTCCAGATGTTTTATTATGCACGGAGGGGGGAATCAAATGTGCATGCGTAAAGCCTACGAGAAAATGTTGGTGGTGGTTTTGAGGTCTGGGTTTTAGATCATTCCGGATAATGGACGTCCGGATTTTGGACTTTGTACTGTATGATGTGAATGCATTCTTTTTCTGTGATTGAGTTCCATAAATTACACCAAAGTAACATAACAGATCAGTATTCGAAGTTTCACATAAAATGGTTCAAAATTAGTTTTTTCCCACAACTAAGGCTATTTATTGATAATATAGTCAAATAATTTATTTGAATTACATTTAGGAAAAACCAAACACTGTGCTTCAGAAATTTTTTGGTGAATGCACTAATACATTAGCTGAATAACTTAGAAGGTAATGTTTTGCATTGGTTTACAGAATCTATACATGGCTACTGAAAGTACTAAACATTTTCTCCTAAATTGTTTAGGGCGTAAATGGTACACATTCGTAATGCGTGTTCAACTCTGTAGGCTATGGACAACAAATGATGTGGAAAAATTCGCCTGGCAAGTTTCGTATCTGGCTAAAGATGCAATGATGTGTTAACAAAATTTTTAAGTTTGCAAAGTATTTTAATAATAATTGACATATATGTACATTTTCTGCTGTAACAAGAACATTTTGATGAACGAATTGAAACTATGGTTAGTCTGTAAATGTACTTTGTTTCCAGAGGTAAAAAAAGAACCACTTCAATGTAGAAAAATTAAACGTTCCCAAAAATGCAAATTGACTGTTGTACCCAAATACAGCTGTAGCACCCTCTATTTGCAAAACAGATACTAAACGAAAAAACACTAAAAAACAAAAGTGATATTCAGCAAATTTTTATTAATAATGTGTTATAGTACGGCATTTTTTTATAATTCTGCAGAATTTAGAAGATATATTCTATGTAGGAACAGACTTTTTTAGTACTTCACTGCCTTTTTCGTGTGTATGTGTGTGTAATAATATACTGCTAAATTTGTCTATGTTGAAAGAATTAGACATTTGTCAACAAACCGCCTTAAGTGCCAAAGTGAATCGGGATCCTCCACGTGCTTTACTATGAAAAAGTATCTACTATGCATATGTGAAGCATTCAGCATATACTAAAGCAAGATGCTATTGTTGGAGTCTAATTCCTTCTCTTTCTGCAAAAAACTTCTAAAAAAAATCCTGGTGGTCCAGATATTCTGTATATTGTCATTCAGATTATAAGTCATTCTGTATATTGGACATCCAGATATCACACTTTGTACTGTATAAACACAGTAAAAGTAAATGGTAAATTATAAAAAGTAAAATATATATACATTTGGTACAACTCCGATATACGCCCTAATTCACCAAACGTGGAGATATGTCTTCTGCACTGGTGTTTGACACGATTGCATGTTGTATGGCAACCTTATTGACGTTGAAAAATCTTTTGCTGGAGTTCGTTGGTTCGCGTAATGCTCTGTGTATGAGAAGCTAGGGGGGGGGAAGATAAAATGGTGGAAGTTATTGAATTGAAGTTCGGCAAAAGGAAATATGGTCGTGGCCATCCTGTTAAGGGGTAGTGGGTATTTGGAGGTGTGGAAAGAGGGTCTGGTAGATTATTTTTAGTGGCTGTGCATGATAGAAGTAGGGATTTGTGATTATTTGTTATTCTTTTTATTTGTGAACCATAGTATGAATTTTCTGGATAGTGATTACGTGGCGGCATGTTAAAGGTGGTATGAAATTGGTATTTCTGCTGTTCAAAAAAGCATTTATTTCTGGTAAGTGCATTTTATTTTATTCTTGTTCTTATTTTGTAGAATGTTATGTTCATTGTTTTTTTAGTATGAATTTCTGTCGTTATTGTTCTTTTTTTGAATTGTTTGAAATTTATTTTAGTTATTTTGTTGATTAGTGCGTGTCACTTAAATTGTGCAATTCGTAGATGTTTTCTTAAGTTGAAACAAAACACTGTATACATGATATTCTTTAAAATTTACTGTTATGTTAATTTATTAAAGTGAGGTATGCATAGTTTGTAAATTCGTTTCTTACCTACATTGTGCAATTCGTAGATGTTTTTTTAAGTTGAAACAGGACGCTGTGTACATGGTATTCTTTGAAATTTATTGTTGTTATGTTAATTTATTAAAACGAGGTATGTAGTTCGTAGATTCGTTCGTTGCCTATATTGTGTCATTCGTAGATGTTTTTTTAAATTAAAACATATCGCTGTGTACATGGACTCTTGTCAAATAATTTTGGTTAGAAACTTTACGGTTTTGCTATCTAAATGTTTTGGATTTTTAGTTTAAATTGTGTTTTCGCGTTCGCGAAAACCGTGTTTTTGGAGACATTTAGACATTAAAGTTCGAAATGTAGACAAAACATTTAGATAGCAATATGGCAGCGTGGAGTTTTTCGCCAAAAAAATTTGGCAAGAAATTTGGCGACTTGAGGGCACATATCAGAGTAGTTCCATAAATTTCTTAAATTTGTTTGATATTAGGAGTACAATGTTAAAAAATATAAATATTAAAAAAGAATATTTGAAAGGGTTCATTTTTTAATATGGCAGAAGAGGGTTTTTTTTTTTTTTTTTTTTTTTTTTTTTTTTTTTTTTTTTAATGCTCTTTCTGAGCATTGCAGGTTACCAATCTGTTTTGGGGGTCACTCCTGTTAACACAATTTTTCTTGTCTTTTGAGCTTATTAGTCAGCATCACTTTCTTCATACTTATGTCACATAGAACTCAACAGCAAAATCCCAAAATCTTTAAAAGTAGCATATGTTTAAAATTCTTGATACAGAGTTAAGTGTTTGATACATTTTTCTGTTTTTTAAGTTCAACATATCAATGTACATTTTTCTTAAAAAGATGAAATACAAATTTTTTATGAATTTTGGATCAGTTTGACAATTTCTTACTTTCAGATCACCGAGTTTGTTAATAAAATATTCATTAATAAAAAATTCATTGAACTCATTCAAAATTTGAAATAAACACAAAATTTCAAAATTTTGCTTTGAGATACAAATTAAATACGCGCTAACATTGAAAATGTGGACAGCTCCATTCAAATATTCAAAAGATGGTGACTTTAGTTGCTATCATGTTTCCACGGTGATACATGCAGACATAATACGTACAGATTTTTCATTATTTAGCTGTTTTTAAAAATAACATACGATGATAAAAATTTGGTGGCACCAATCTGAAAAATAAATTGGATACAAAAGTAATGCAGACAAAAAGTGAGTTTTGAGGCTTATAGCACCTCAAGTATGAATTATAAAAAGTAAAAAGTACACACATTTCACATGTATACACATTTTCACTAATTTTAGTTTTGAATTTACACATTTCTGTTGCTGTCAAATTAGCTTTGGCTCAAAAAAGTTCACTTTAATAAATGCTTCCTTTTAGCTCACATTAGCAAATTTTACACTTTTTGATTATTGTGGTGACAGTGCCAAGTACGAAGTAAAGAGCCAAATGTAATTCTTTACAATTTTTACAATCAGAATCTACTGACATCATTGCAAATAAGTGGGAAAAATGAACACTAGTCTGACAGTTTTTTATTCTGAGATTTTCAATTACACTTTCGTTACATGCCCCCTTTCCTGTTTTCTTTATGAAAGGAAAGAATCGATTACATAAGTTGGCAAAGCAAAAAGGAAAAATAAAATGCAGCAGTGGCTGCTGCCTCCTAGATTTCTATTTGTTTCAATCCATATGATGGACTGTGTGAAATGACATAAATGTTTTCAGCAATGTTAAATGAAATTGGCAGCTTGACACCTCCTGTTTAATCTGAAATTAATGTAGAAAATCCATTTATTGTTTTATTTGTAAATTTCTGTATTAATTGATTTAATCAAATACTTATTCTTTTCCACAAAGTTTATGTAGTATTATTAGGGTTGCCAATATTTTCTCTAGTTACATTTTACACCAACATTTTGTTCTGCAACAAGTGGACCCTGTCAATCATAGAGTACCACACATTGAAATATCTCTCTATACATGTACAAAAAAGTATTCATACATCAAATATTTAAGATAAAAGTATTTACCTTCCACACTTTCAAAGAATTTTTCTTCTTTTTCAATTTGAAATTCATGTTTGCCTGTTAAGTGTTCCCGAAGATGTTTATATGTAGGAATGGCAATATCACATTTTGGACAACGTAACTTTGAAGTATTATTTCTTCGAGGTACATTATGTATTTTATTCATATGCCTCAACACATTCTGAGGATAAGTAAATTCTTTCCCACATAATGAACAGCAGCTTTTATCATCCATGAATCTTTTTTTTATATATATATAGTAAGTTATTCACCACCTAAATCAAATTAAATATTACTATAAATAACAAAATTATAAACTATTTACATATATGTTAAAAATCCACTAACATTCAAAATTAAAAACTCATATTTAATAGGAAATGAAAATAAAGTTCTACAATATTATTTTTTTCTCTTCAAATGATTGGACAATTGCAATTTTATGCATTTATCGGGAATGGCCAACCCCTTATTTGCTTTATCTCATCACAAACAGCATTGCTCGGAGAGCATCATTGGGACAACTAATATTACACATCTGTTGCAAACTGAGGTGAATTACATCTGGGGTAGAGTGACATTACCTTTTAGAATGTATGAGAATCAGATTTAGTCTTTAGTTTGAAATGTGACAGAAAATTTTGATTTTGAGTCTATCCTTGTATGTGTTACATGCGCTTCAATAAAGGTTTTTAATGTTTTTTGGAATGACTTTTGTCTTTCTGAATTTTCAAAATTTTCCAAATTGCTTGATTCTTTTCGAATTTTGTGGATTTTCACCCTCATTTCAATCAAATTACAGCTTTGCATTCAACATAAGAAAGTAGTATTCTCAACGGAACTAGTATTTTTGAATCGTAACCTTTGAAGTTTGGAGTTCCCTAGTGTTTTCTAAGTTTGAATTATTCTCTACAGATGGATTTGCTAGCGTTAAAGGCACAACAGAATGGATTGAGTATGTCATTGAAAGAAATTGAAAGAAAATTGAAAATGAGCTGGTTAAAGAAGTTATACACATAAATGAAGTTTTTTTAAACCTGAACTTATTGATAAGTTTCAGAAGCTTGAAATTTGTCAGTCAGTAACTGCTGATTGTTTACAGAAGATTGAAGATGGTAGGAAACTGTACACCAATGATTTTGAAGTAGCCAATACTTGCATAGACAGAAATGTAGAAATTTGTGATAAACTGGAAATGCGATTGCAGGAAGCTTTTGTAGCTAGAAATAGAAAAAAGAAATAATAATAACTATAAAAAATTAACGCTAAGAAATTTTCAGGTGATTCAAAGGATTACTTGTCCTTTTGGTGCCTATTTCAAAAGATTCATTAAAACTCCTCTCTACCTGATGAAAGATAAAAAAATCTGGTACAGTCTGTGCAGCCAAAATCGAAAGCTGAACCTTTAAATTGATTGTTTTACGGCAAAAGTGGGGAATTATTAAAAGCTCTTTGAACAATTTGGAAGAGATGATTTGCTGCTCCTGATTTATTTTGGTGATTTATTTAACATGGTTATGAAAAACGCTGTAACTGGAAGAACCAAGGCCGATTTGGCAGCTTTATATGACAAGCTGGAAGCAAAATTAAGAGATTTGGAGAGCTCAGAAAGAATGCAAGAAAAGTTTGTGATTTTCTACTTCCACAAGTAGAAAGTTGTCTCAAGGAAGAAGTTCTGCTTACCTGGGAAAGAAGGAAAAATTCTGAGTCAACTGATTCCAAGAGTTCCCAAACTTTAGAACAATTGCTGAATTTTCTTCATCAAGAAATTCACAGCATTAGCAAAAACTGGGTTTGTTTTTCACATTAATTTTAAAAATAAGAGTTCAGTTCCTAGAAAAAGAAAAAAAATTGATCTTGGAATAACCTCTGCATTGGTAAGCCTTGATAACAATACAGGTAAGCAATTTTATTTTATTTTTAGAGAAGTTTAACCCCAGCGAATACGCTTTAAAAAAGCAGACCATTTAAACAAATTTTGTAATGTTAAAAATTATTGAACCATTTTCAAGGTAATAATTCTGGTTTCAATATAAAGTACCCTAAAAAAGGAGGGGGGGAATGCATGTAAAAGAATTCCCTCTCTAAATGCTGTAGAAGTGAAACTGTTTCCTTGCAAGCTTTTAGGAGCTCAAGGTGAAGAGTGCAAGATTCACACTTTCTGCCATTGGGCTAGCCAAAATAGTTACCATAAGCAAAGGAATTATACCATTACTGAACGTTCCTCCACCTTGAAATGAAAATGTAATACACACATTGTTTGGAGAGAATTAAGGGAAACTGAAGAAACAAGGTATTTTCTATCGAAGTCAGTGATTTAAGAAAGTCATATATGTATAGTTTTGAAGCTCATTCAGAAGATATATGAATTTATTCCGATAATTAATGACGAAAGCATTCAAAACAACTTGAAAGAAATAAAACAGACTTAACAGATTTTTTCTGTGAGGAAAGCAGCACTGCCCTTTTGATTGGGGTGATGTTTTGAGAAAATTGCTGACTGAAAGCTTATTTAACTAGATTCAGGATTAACAGCTGTGAAAACTAAACTCGGGTGGATGGTAACTGGGAAAGAGAATTCCTGCAAGGGTGATAGCATTTTAACTACTTTGCCTCTGAATGTTAGGAATATTGCTTATGGAACTTGCAATTTTAGGAACAGCTTATTCATCCCAAATTGTTAAGGGGGAAGTTCACTTAACTAAATTTTGGAGATATGAAAAAAAATTAATAAGTTACAATATGGTAAACTTTCATATGATTATCAAAAGGTATTCCAGGAATGACAGAAAATTAATATCACTGAACATGTATTGAACTGAACTGAATAACTAATGTCACTATTTACCTCACAGGCCAGTGATTAAATAGTAAAGCTTCAAAAATTCGCCTTGTTTTTTATGCTTCTAGCCCTCTTTAAACAATCTTTAACTTACAGGAGTTAATCTTATTGAAACAATACCTGATATAGACAGTCTAATTAGGTCTAGAGGAGTACACAAGTAAAATTTTGTGAACACAGCACTTATCGTCCTTTTTTTAAATCTGTGGATGCGCCCAAAGTGGCACACTTATTGAATAGAGCTTCGAAAAGAGTGCTGAAACGAGCATTGTTGTCAATGAATTGACCGATGAGATGCGGAGAAACAAAGAATACAGACTCTCAGTTGTCCTAGATTATCGGTGAGCCCGGTCTGGGCACACCTAGTGTCTCCGTTTGATTTTAGGCAAGATTTCAAGGTAATAATTTAAAACTAATATAGAATAAGGAGATTAGCATACAGCCAAAAAAAGTAACATAGAAATTTCTTTTCAAACAATTCCTTTTATACCCTAAAAAAAATCTGGAAGATTTCTTTGAAAAATGAGGGTCTTAAAAAAACTAAACATGGCTAAAATATATGGACTGGTTTGTGTTGAGCTGCAATCTACTATAAATAAAGAAGGTTCACAGTAACCTATTAATCTTTTTTCATTAAATTTTTCTGTGGGTACAGAAGAAAATTTTTAGGTGTGTCCAAATCGGGCACACTGTGTCGCAAAGGGTTAATCTTCCATAATCGGGGTAAGCGCGAAGCTTGGTGAGAGTTTTCAGTTTGGCCCAATTTTGATTTGGTCATGATTTCCGGCTGTATGTTTTCCTGTTTCAAACTTGGAGTATTTCGATGATTGCTAAGTGCGAGTTTAGTGTAGCCAGAAGATTTTTTAAAGTTAATTTTGAAATACTCTTTTTTTCCAAGTTTTACTGTTTAATATTTGCAGGAAATTAAGCTGTTATTAGTGGTGGAATGTTGGATTTCGAACAACGTGAAGTTTATAATTTATGAATGTTTTCTTTTAATTTAATTTTAATAATTTTTTCAAGTCAGTTAATTATTCATTTTTAGTTTTTTCTTGCATGTGGCAATCAAAAGATGTGGAATGTTTAAAGTTTTGAATGAAAATTGTTTAGTATGTTGAATTCCACAACGATAGTAACTTGTATATTTTAAAGAGTTTATGATGCATTTGTTCTTACTGAATTTGAATTCATTTACTTGGTTGTCAATTTTGAGTCCAAAGAAAGTGTTATACAATTTATTATTCATTACACTATTTTATCATGAATTACATAGAAAGGAACATGTTTTTAATTGCGAAGCTGATATACTTTGTTTTATTCACATAGTATTTTATTATCTAATTTTACTAATCTATTGACATAAAATAACAGCATTTCACTACAGCAAAACTTAAAAGTTACTATTCTGTTTACATTTAAAAATCACATCTTGGTGCTCACTTTGCCGACAAAAAATATTTGCCAGATTTTCAAGGCCAAAACAGTTTGGCGCCAACTTACCATGCTTATGATTAGCCAATCATATCAATATAAATATTAGCATAAGAATCATATAAGCACCAATCAGTAAATAATTGAAAAGGCTCTTTTGATGTTATCTATTGCATCCAAAGACGGATATTTTTTTAGTTTTCTTCCCATGTAATGCAGGACAGTAGGGATTAAAATAATCAGCACTTTTCCGTTTTGCCAGCGCAAATCTCGCCAAACAGACTTTATTAGCGACAACACACAGTATACACATAAAAAATTTGCATCCTAATTGACTAAATTACCGTGAATGGCCTTAAGGCATAAAATTGAACTATCTGGTAAAAATTATATGGGTACAACTCCCTATACACCCTAATTTCACGAATGTAGCGATATGTGTTTTGCGCTGGTTTTTGGCGCGGTTGCGCGTTGTATGGCAACCCTGTTCACGATGAAAAATCTTTCGCTGGAGATAGTTGGTTCGCCTCATGCTTTGTGTCTGAAAAGCTAGGGGGAAAAGATAAAATGGTGGAAGTTGTTGAATTGAAGTTCGGCAAAAGGAAATATCGTCGTGGCCATCCTGTTGAGGGGGCAGTGGGTATTTGGAGGTGTGGAAAGAGGGTCTGGGAGATTATTCTCAGTGGCTGTGCATGATAGAAGTACGGATTTGCGATTATTTATATTTTATTTATTTGTGAACAACAGTATGAATTTTCTGGATAGTGTGTCTGGCTGTCATATAAATACGATAGTGATTACGTGGCGGCACGTTAAAGGCGGTATGAAATTGGTATTTCTGCTGTTTGAAAAAGCATTAAGTCATGGTAAGTGCATTTTATTTTATTCTTGTTCTTATTTTGTAGAATGTTATGTTCATTGTTTTTTTAGTATGAATTTCTGTCGTTATTATTCTTTTTTTGAATTGTTTGAAATTTATTTTAGTTATTTTGTTGATTAGTGCGTACCGTCTAAATTGTGCAATTCGTAGTTGTTTTTTAAAGTTGAAACAGAACGCTGTATACATGGTATTCTTTGAAATTTATTGTTAATTTATTAAAGTGAGGTGTGCGTAGTTCGTACATTCATTTGTTGCCTAAATTGTGCAATTCGTAGATGTTTTTTTAACTTGAAACAGGATGTTGTGTACATGGTATTCCTTGAAATTTATTGTTGTTACGTTATATTAACGTATTAAAGTGAGGTGTGCTTAGTTCGTAGATTCGTTCGTTTCCTAAATTGTGCCATTCGTAAATGTTTTTTTTGAGGTGAAACAGAATGTTGTGTACATGCAATTCTTTGAAATTTATTGTTGTTATGTTGGTTCATTAAAGTGAGGTGTGCGTAGTTCGTAGATTCGTTCGTTGCCTGAATTGTGCAGTTCGTAGAGGTTTTTTTAAGTTTAAACATGATGCTGTGTACATGGCATTCTTTGAAATTTATTGTTGTTATGTTAACTTATTAAAGGCGAGGTGTGCATAGTTCGTAGATTCGTTCGTTCCCTAGATTGTGCCATTCGTAGATGTTTTTTTTTTTTTCAAAAGTTAAAACATATCGATGTGTACATGGACTCTTGTCAAATAATTTTGGTTAGAAACTTTGCGGTTTTGCTATCTAAATTTTTTGTTTTTGTTTCGGATTTTTAGCTTAAATTGTGTGTTCAAAACGTGGTTTTTGCATTCGCGAAAACCGTGTTTTTGGAGACATTTTAGGCTTAAAGTTCGAAATGTAGACAAAAAATTTAGATAGCAATATGGCAGCATGGAGTTTCTCACCAAAAATGTTTGGAGAGAAATTTTGCGGCTTGAAGGCACATATCAGAGTAGTTCCATTCTATGTAATTGTATGTCAATATTGAAAGAAACAATCAATCTTATAAGAAATGGCTGCGACCTGTTTAGAAAATGAGGCAGGAAAGGTTACCAATGAAGATATTGCATTTGGCATTGTTTGTATCATTTTTGGCGACTTTATCACCTGCATCGGCAAAATGGAAAGGCACCAAATAATCTTATAACTAAAAACAAATTTGATAAAATAAATAAAAAACAATAAAGTTAAAATAATTTGGTTAGAGTAGACTTTAAGGTACCTCATGTATTATCGTGAAGTTGTTGTTTCATTTATCGCTAAGTTGTCCCATTTATGAACCCGAGTAGTTGAATGTTATGGAAACCCTATTGTGACAATAATCAGGTGCATGATTCAGGGAAATTTTGAATGATGGGACATTTAGTAAGCGCTTTTGTGGTGTGTGTTGGTTTTATTGTTTAGACGGTAGAATGGCTGAATGTAGTAAGATTAATTTGAAATTTCTGTATGATTTGGAACGATAGGGAAAAAGAGCGTTAATTGACTGGTGTGTAAATAAAGGTTTACCTAGTAGCCATTATAAGTGTCCTGTATGTAGGAAGGATATGCATCTAGTCGAATGTAAAAATCATTTAGATGGATTTGAATGGGTTTGTAGGAAGAAAGGTTCAGATGTGGTGCGTCACCACATCTGAACATGA